TCTCTCTCTCTCTCTTTCTGTCTCTTCTCTGTCCCTTTCTCACTCCGTAACGCGGCGTCGGATCGTCGCATGTAGTGTGTCGGAGTACAGTTGTCTGCAATGCTTTTAGGGTATCACTGGGATTGTTCAGACTGGGTCAGGCCAAGCCAAAACCCCTTGCCTAATATCACGGAGGTGCCTGGAAGCGAAGTACCAGACTCGTCCAGCTTCCACAGCAACGAGAGTAACGAATCAAACACTCATCAGTTACCGTCAGGTGAGTTATGCGACTGCATGCTAGGCGGCAATACAATTGCTTTGCACTCGCAGTCAATGGAGACTCGCAGTCTCGGCTCGTTAACGTCCGTAGACGTATATCTTCTGCGAGATAATTTTAGAAACAGCTATCGAATCTTTTCCTCCTTTGGATAATTTGTCATCTTGTACGAACAAGTAGCGGTAAAATCGGATGCATGCGATGGTATCATCACGGTAGGACTTGGTGATTTGTCTTTTTAACCCTCGATCGACAGGGTGTGTGACACTTGGAATATCTAGTGACGTTAATTTGCAATACCAAGATTCTCTTTCTCTCTCTCTCTCTCTCTCTCTCTGTCTCGTAGAAAAGATTGCTGCTCAATATTTAATTGAACCAGCAGTTAAGAATTGTCAAAGTATAAACTAAGGGGAGGTATATCCGTTGCAGTGCACGGCTCTGTAGATCCAGCGCGGGACATCGAGACGTTGAACGAAGATCAAGAGTCGGAGTACGTCGGGGACTCGGAGTGCGGGACTGAGTTTTCCGAGCAGTATCAGTGCGCGGAAACGCAACGTCTGAATCCGCTGGACAGCGGCGGCGAGGGAGAGTACAAGTATAAAGGCTCCGAGAGTTATCTCCGCCATCCGAACTCGTATCTGCCGCATTACAACATCCACACGGACACGGAGAACGAAACGAACCCGTTGAATGGACGTCTTAGTACTTTAGAATCCGACGAGGAGGAAGACGACGTAGTGCCTTATGGTTTCCCAAGCAGTCGACGCAACCGATGCCACAAGGGGGACGAGGTCGACGACATCGGTTCGGTGATCACCACGCTCGAGGAGAGAAATTCGCTGTTGGGCGGTGCGACCAGCAACAGCGACTTGTCCACCAACTTGTGCGAGATCGACGACTCCGAGTACGAGATCGCCGATCAGAAGAGCAACGGCCGCCTGTGGTTGTCGGGGAACGGTATCACGCAGACCTCGGTGTGACAAACAGTGGTGCCACGACTTGAGAACAGACTGTACGTGATCGTGTTTTTCTGTGCATCTTGAATAAAAGACAGTGCGAATGTTATGTGAATATATACAATGATGAATTATTGTACATACGTATTATATATCGGCGCAGACGATAGGGGGAAAGGTAAAAGAGTGTGTACAGAGGCAGCTATGAGTATAAGGAAATTGATGAACACGAGCTAATTGGAAAGAACGGTACGGAAGCAATCGCATACTGATGAGCCAACGGTGCGCACCGTCGTTCGCGCATCGTACCTCGAATCTCCTATGTAGGTAGAGCTTAGGTACTCCGACGTACTTAATCCCGCGATCCTCGAAACGATTACATTCGGCCGCAAGCGTGAAAAAGAAAAAGAAAAAGAAAAAGAAAAAGAACACGTACATGTATCTGGGAGCAATTCTTCTTTTCGTACGACTTTCGTTGTACGTTTCACGGTAATTAAAATAGGGCCATTTGACGAATTGGCGATTCGGTGGTTTTTATCGCACGTTCTGTCGATGACGAATTCATTTGATAGACGATTTTACGATATATATACATATATGGACCATTAAGAGT